CGAGAAGCCGCGCGAGCGCCCGAAAGCCTCGAGCCTCGATGCCGGGAAAGCCGTTCCCCCCTGAACCTGTCCCCATAGCCCCCCTATGCCTCTCCTCCTCCTCCTCCTCCTCCTCCTCCTCCTCCTCCTCCTCCTCCTCCTCCTCCTCCTCCTCCTCCTCCTCCTCCTCCTCCTCCTCCTCCCTCCTCCTCCTCCTCCTCCTCCTCCCTCCTCCTCCTCCTCCTCCTCCTCCTCCTCCTCCTCCTCCTCCTCCTCCCCACGAAGCTGGGAGTGCGGCAGACTGGCCTCGCCCCACGAGCGGCGCCGCGACTCACACCCGGGCGGCGCGCAGGGCCCCGAGCGCAGGGCCTCCCATTCGAGGGCGGGGAGGGGCCTGCGGTAGAAGAGCTTCGACTGGTCGAAGGACTCGTCCCCCGCCTGCCTCACGACGGCGATGGCCTCCACAGAGGAAGCAAAACGGCGTAGGCAGAAACGGTAGGCGCTCCGCGCCGATTTCTGGGATCTGAGCTGGACCTCCTTGCCTGGCGCGCGGAGCTCGCCAGGGGCGGCGCTGGAGGCAACGCCAGGGGGGCCCCAGCGCAGATCCAAGAAATCCTCGCCTTCTTCGACTCCGGATATGGGTCCCGATGGCCGTGCTGTACGACGAAGCCAGAAAAGGGATGAAATCGGGCGAGAAAAAATCGAGAAACTCTGAGATCTGGCGGCTGCGGAGGATGTCTCGGGCGCCGCGGCCTTCTTAGAGCGTCCCAGAACGCTCTGAGAGCGTTCTGGCACGCTCTGGAACGGAATGTTATCCTCGTCCTGGCCCCGTCCGATACCGGGGCGGCTAGGGCGAATCGAAACGTGCGTCGGATCGGGCTGCAACTACGGGAGCCATAAATATACACCACCACCATCACCACCACCACCACCACCACCTCCCTCATCCCCTACCTCTCCAAGGAAAGGGGAGGGGAAGGGTAGAGGGAGGGGAAATGGAGGTGGCGATGGTGTATACTTTGGATCCCGCTGCAACGGGACGGAGCCGAATTCGCAGGTTGAGGAGCCGCATGCACGCACCGTTTGGCAGTGGCGTTAGCTGGGAACGGCACTCGCGCGTGGCCCGCGCAGCTGCCTTTCGAAGAGGATAGCGCCCGCTCGTAGCGCGCGCGCGCGCCCGAAAGCAGCCTGCTCCTCCATTCCTTTTGCTTAAACATAACTCCTCCCTATCGCACCCCTGAGACCGGTCGCAAGGGCGGGCTGGGCGTTTCGCCTGAGACTTCGTCACCATTTATGAGCCTGAAGCTGAAAAACCGGCAACAGTTTCACAGATGGAGGGCGGGTAATTTTCAAATGTTGGCTCTCGCCTTAGCGCCGCGCACACTCGTTTGAACAATGTGCATGAGTTGCACGGATTGCGGGTCATTCTCAAAATGTGGCTCTCGCCTTGGCGCCGCGCGCATTCGTTTTGAAAACTTGCAAGAGCTTCACTAATGGAGGGCAGGTCGTTTTCATAATGTACCTCTCGCCTTGGTGCCGCGCACATCCGCTTTAAACACTTGCAAGAGCTTCATTGGTTCTCATGGTTACCGAAACAGAAACTGCGTTTGGGAGCGATTCAAGACTGTGAGAGCGCAACAATTACGTTGATTCGCGGTGTTGGAGTCCCAGGAACGGAATTCTGGCACGATTCAGGATCGCCAAAACGTAACAGTCTGGTAAATTCGTAACGCTGAAGTCCTGAGACTGGTGTTTTGGCACGCTTCAGGATTACCACACGGTCGTCCCCCAACGGGGCAATTCCATCAGTGGAAATGAATCCTTGCAGGGCCTATGAAGAGGGAGCTTGGAGGGAGGGTGTATTCCAATATCGTTGATGACTCTTGGGTTTACACTGATCCTCCTCCTACTCTTCTCCTCCTCTTCCACCTCCTCCTTCTCCTCCTGCCCTCCCCTGCGATCCTGGCGTCTCCATTTGTTCGACCAGGGCGACGTCGCCTTCTTGAGAACCCTGAGACCCTCACAGACCGATGCAGATCGAAAACTGACGCAGGAAGATCGGGTCTAGGGCTCCGGGCGTGACTGTTTACGATGTTGCACTTTTTTCGCTACGTCGGCACCCATCCCCATCCCCCTTCCCTATGGCCCCCACCCCCCTCCTCCTGCACTGATCCACTCGTGGCGCGGGCCTGGGCCAGGAGGCGGAGGGGGATGGGTCCTTTGGTCCTCCTTTTCAGGCATCCGAGGCGGTATCTCGAATAGCGAGGCGTGGGGTCCGTCGTGGTCTTGCTCACGACGCGAGCATTGGTAGAGGAAAAAGAACTATGCACATACACCGATTCTGGCCAGGCCCATCCTGAGCCCAGGATCGGTGCATACGCCCTCCTACCTTGGCCAGGAAGGCATATGCACCGATCCTGGGTCAAGGATCGGCCTCGCCAGGATCGGTGCATGTGCATAGTTCTCGTCGCCCGAATTGGGGCAGTCTTGGGACGCGTTGGGAGCCTCCAGCGCGGCCCCGCACGCGGAATCGTACCGGCTGGAATCCGAAGGCGCGCTGCTGCACTGAGGAGGGAGCGAGCGCAGAGAGCTGCGGCAGCCAGTCGTCGTCGTCGTCGTCGTCGTCGTCGTCGTCGTCGTCGTCGTCGTCGTCGTCGTCGTCGTCGTCGTCGTCGTCGTCGTCGTCGTCGTCGTCGTCGTCGTCGTCGTCGTCGTCGTCGTCGTCGTCGTCGTCGTCGTCGTCGTCGTTCGTCGTCGTCGTCGTCGTCGTCGTCGTCGTCGTCCGTCGTCGTCGTCGTCGTCGTCTCGTCGTCGTCGTCGTCGTCGTCGTCGTCGTCGTCGTCGGGGGATCGATCCCGGGAGGGGGGAGGGAGGGGAGGGGAGAGGGGAAGGGAGGGGAGAGGGAGAGGGGGAGGGGAGAGGGGGAGGGGAGGGGAGGGGGGAGGGAGGGGAGGGGAGAGGGGGATCGATCCTGGGGGGGGGAGGGGGAGGGGAGAGGCGGAGGGGCAAGCCAGGTGCGCTCGCGCCAGATCTGATATCCTGCCCCTCCCTCCCCTCCCTGGGGAGACCAGAAGGTACCGATACCGCTACTCCACGGACCTCTCCCAGTCTGCGTTCTGACCAGGATTTCGGGGCGAATCCAGCGGTGACGACGAGGGCCTCCGAGGAGGCCCAGAGAAGGGAGAACGAGGAAAGGGTCGAGGTATGGGTACCTTTCCTCCTCTGAATCCCTGCCCGTTGCGCTGTTGTTGCTGTCTCTGTCCGCGGACGCGTGTCGTAAGTGGCCTGGGACCTCCTGGATCACTCCATCGTGTGATGCGCAAACGGAAGAGCTGCGCACACTCGGAAGTGGGGAGCTGCGCACACAGGAGGAGGACGAGGTGGCGGGTAAGCTGGAGGATGAGCAGGAAGAGGAGGAGGAGGAAAGAAGAAGGAGAAGGAGAACGAGGACGAGAACGAACAGCAGCAGCTGCAGAGCGGAAGGAGCGGGACGAGCAGGAGGGCCAGGGGAAGGCGAAGGAGGGGAAATGAGGCGGGCAACAACGATGGAAAAGGAATCGGGAGCAGAGCGCCGATCCGAAAATGAGGCCGACGCTGCAGCTGGATCACCAGTAAACACCCGAACAAGTCGCAGACCACAAAAACATATTTTGAAATTATGCTTAACTATATATATGTATATATACATACATACATACATACATACATACATACATACATACACATACACATACAAGCATGCGTACATAGTATATTTACCTATATAAAAAAGAGCGCGGAGGGTCCGGGATACCTCCCGCACATAGTCAGGTGGCAGGGGAAAGTAGTAGTAGTAGTAGTAGTAGTAGTAGTAGTAGTAGTAGTAGTAGTAGTAGTAGTAGTAGTAGTAGTAGTAGTAGTAGTAGTAGTAGTAGTAGTAGTAGTACTAGGAGTAGTAGTAGTAGTAGTAGTAGTAGTAGTAGTAGTACTAGTACTAGTAGTAGTACTAGCACTAGTAGTAGTACTAGTAGTACTAGTAGTTACTACTAGTAGACTACTAGTAGTAGTAGTAGTAGTAGTAAGTAGTAGTAGTAGTAGTAATAGAGTTAGTAGTAGTGGTAGTAATAGTAATAGTAGTAGAATAATAGTAGTAGTAGTCGTCGTCGTCGTCGTCGTCGTCGTCGTCGTCGTCGTCGTCGTCGTCGTCGTGGTCGTCGTCGTTGTAGTGGAAGTAGTAGTACTACTAGTAGTAGTAGCAGCAGCACTAGTAGTGGTAGTACTAGTAGTAGTAGTAGTAGTAGTAGTAGTAGTAGTACTAGTACTAGTACTAGTAGTGGTGGTGGTGGTGGTGATGGTGGTAGTAGTAGTAGTAGTAGTGGTGGTGGTGGTGGTGATGATAATAGTAGTAGTAGTGGTAGCAGTAGTAGTAGTGGTAGTAGTAGTAGTAGTAGTAGTAGTAGTAGTAGTAGTAGTGGTAGTAGTAGTAGTGGTACTAGTAGTCGTACGTACTAGTAGTAGTAGTAGTAGTAGTAGTAGTAGTAGTAGTAGTAGTAGTAGTGGTAGTAGTAGTAGTAGTAGTAGTAGTAAGTAGTAGTAGTAGTAGTAGTAGTAGTAGTAGTAGTAGTAGTAGTGCAGTAGTAGTAGTATAGTAGTAGTAGTAGTAGTAGTAGTAGTTAGTAGTAGTAGTAGGAGTAGTAGTGGTGGTAGGTAGTAGTAGTAATAGTAGTAGTAGTGTAGTAGTAGTAGTAGTAGTAGTAGTAGTGGTGGTGGTGGTAGTGATGGTAGTAGTAGTAGAAGTAGTAGTAGTAGTAGCAGCAGCAGCAGTAGTAGTAGTAGTAGTGGTGGTAGTAGTAGTAGTCGTCGTCGTAGTAGTAGTAGCCGTACTAGTAGTAGTAGTAGTAGTAGTAGTAGTAGTAGTAGTAGTAGTAGTAGTAGTAGTAGTAGTAGTAATAGTAGAAGTAGTAGTAGTAGTAGTAGTAGTAGTAGTAGTAGTAGTAGTGGTAGTGGTATGAGTAGTGGAAGTGGTGGTGGTATGGCTAGTGTTAGTAGTAATAGAAAAATAGTAATAATAATAGTCGTAGTAGTAGTCGTAATAGTAGTAGTAGTAGTAGCAGCAGTAGTAGTAGTAGTAGTCGTAGTAGTAGTAGTAGTAGTAGTAGTAGTAGCAGTAGTAGTAGTAGCAGTAGTAGTAGCAGTAGTAGTGGTAGTAATAGTAGAAATAAGATTGTGTACTTGTAGGGGCCCTCTGCTAAGAGGGGGAGGGGGAAACGGCAGGAGACAGGGGAGGCGCACGCATCCGCTGCGCACAGCCACGGCGCGGCCTTGGAAGCGCTCTTCTTGGCCCTATCTGGCCACTTGAGCTTCAGCAGGCACATGGTGGAATTGCTGAGCAGCGTTGCGATGGCCGCCGCGGGCACCACGTCCTGCCCGTGTGGGGAGGCGGAAGGAAGGGGAGCGAGGGGAGGGAAGAGGAGGAAGAGGAAGAAGGAGAGTGGGCCGAAGGAGGAGAAGGAGGAGGGGAGGAAAGAGGAGGAAGAGGGAGGAGGAGAGTGGGCCGAAGGAGGAGAAGGAGGAGGGGAGGGAAGAGGAAGAACAGGGAGGAGGAGAGTGGGCAGATGATCCTCGGACCGCGTGTTAGCGCCGACGTGTGCTGCACTGGAAGCCCCTCGGTGCGGCGCAGGCGACGCGGTGGAGGCCGGCACGGGCTGCGCGCTGGCGTCGGAGCCAAACGGGGTGAGCACACACTGGGCGAGCACAGGTCCCGAGAACGACCGAGCGAGATGGGCAGGTGTGCCTCGAGCTGGCGACAGAAAGCCAAGGGAGGAGAAAGCCAACAGCAACGTCAGCTCTGTTCTTGCACGTCCACAAACCTTTGAGGCAGGTACTCTTTGCCCTGGACGCTGGGAGGAGAAAACGGGCCCTCCTGGCCCCATCTCTGGAGCCGCCTCGAAGCAGCACGCCTGACTGTCAGACATTTCACGTCGCTCTGGCTGTGGCAATGAACGAAAGACGGAACAGCTGAAGAGGAAGATCCGCGAGGTGAAGAATCCTGCTTTCGCAACAGCATCACTCCATGCTCGTAGTGCGCGATGGCGTTCTGGTACTCCCCGAGCTTGAAGTACTCGTTGCCCTTCCCAGAGAAGGAACAACAGTTGAAATGCAGTGCATGAGAGTCCCACTTGCAAAACTTCACCTGCGCATGAGTTTCGGCACCACATTTAGATCACAAGGTCCTACCTGCAAGGCTTGCCAATCCAACTTTCGGATAGCCCTGCCGACAAGGTCGCAGAAGCTACGCTCCGACTTGTTGGCTCCACTTTCGAAGACCGACTTGCCGCAGTCTCCTGGTCGGTTGCGCCGACGAGGGGCACATCGAAGGAGGGGTTATCGCATCATGACCCGAGGCATGTGCGCGGACGAGGGTAGGGAGCTGTGACCTATTGAAAGAAGAGGAGACCATGAGATCTAGGGAAGTTTCATGGCCCAGGCCGCGCAGACATCAAAAAAAGTAGATCGATGCGTTTTTCCTTGAAGGAAGGAATGGTGGCTAGGAGGAGAGGGGGCCCGAAGTAAAAAGTATCTGGGCGAAGAACCCAACCATGTGCAGCTGTCAGTACCCTCGTTGCGGGTATCGCCTTCTGGGGATCTCCTCATGGGGCCACGACGCGCTGCCTCGATCGCCCCCCCCCCACACGGCTGCTGCCCCCTGTCGCCGTCCGCCCGAGCCTTGAGCCTCGCCTGCTCCGGATCGCAGATGTCCCTCACGAGCTGCAGCTGCTCCAGCTGGACGGGCTCGCGCCTGGCTCGGCAACTCTAGGTCTGCCCGCCCCGTCGTTTCTCCCTCATCCTCCTCCTCCTCATCGTGATCGCTATCGGCACAGATGGAGCAGGGTCGCTGGCGGCACGATACCGAACAGGTGGTTGGGGCGACTCGGCGCAGCTTTGGAGTTTCGGCAGGCTTCGCGTCGGACTGGCAATCAGTCTATCCGTCCAACTCTCCTAATCATCAGAACTGTCTCGCTCCTCGGCCACGCCTCACTCGTCGCATTGTTCTGACTCCTCTGTCCCGTCAAACCATTATATCTCGTCAAACTCTGTTCACACTTCTTCTAATACTTCATCATTCTGGCAGATATTACTCCTCTGTTCTGCGCGCTCACAATATATTGGACCTGCCCGCAACCGTGCCGCGAGGCGCTTGAAGCTGCACTTGAAGCCGCGAGCACTGAAATCAGGCCCTCGAGAGTCCGTGGCTCTGAGCTGGCGCATACTGCCCAAAAGGCCCCAGACCTGGGCTTCGCGGTGCTCTTCGGCGCCTCCAGGCGCTGCTCGGGCCGGGGTCGTGGCTGCTCCAGAGGCCCAGGCATCGTGGCTGGGTGGCCGAAGTTGGCCCCAAGCGCGCGACTGGGGGGGCTCTCCCGGGAGCCTCGCGGGCCGTCGTGCAGGGCCAAGGGGCAGCCCGAGAGGCGGATCTCGCCGTCTATGAGCGACCTTCGGAGGCTCTGCTGCGGGGCCCCCTTTACGAGAGGCCACGGCGACCCAACAGACTCCCAGCCAGCCGTGCTGCCTCCGTCGATGCTGGCCGTTGCAGCCCGCTCGCCGCGGAACTCTTCCACGTCTGAGCGCCCTCCCCCTCCTCCCTTCGCGCGGTCGCCCTCGTCTTCGCTCGGGGACCTGCTGACCCGGGTCAGTCCAGATCCGGGTCAGTCAGGCCATGCAGAATCCTGCTAGATGCTGCAAGATCCTGCACCCAAACCCGAGTCAATGCGAAGGATCCTGCAAGATGCTGCAGGATCCTGCACCCAAACCCAGGTCAATGCGACCCTGGCCCTGCAGGATCCTGCAAGATTCGGCACTCTAGCTGACCCCCGCTTGCATCGACCCCCGTCTCTGGAGCCCCGATTCGCCTCTATCTCATGCACGCCGGACAATTTTCCGATCGATTGCCCCAACGAGCCCCGCGCTGGTGCGGACTGCCTCTGCCGTGCCGCCGACGAGAAAAAAGTGCTGCCTCGTCGAGCTGGTCTCTCCACCGCACCGGGCAGCCGCCGGACAGCTTCGGCCATCGACCTCTTCTGACTATTCCTGCCCATCTGACAGTTCCAACCCTGCTAACCTCTTCACCCGTCTGCCTCGTCTGAAATTGTTATGCCGTTCATGCCTCCCCTAACTCCTCTGGCTCCCAAAACTCTCTACCGATATTCTGAGGGCCCCTCCTACCAATCCACTGCCTCACCACGGCACAGTGACAGCAAAAGAACAAGACGCTCCATGTGTAAACAAAACATGTCAGAGTTGCTTTCGTGAGTTCGATCTTCCATCGTCCATTTATTCCCCTTCGGAGAGATGGTTTACCCCTTCTTGGCATGCTCCCCCTCCCCACTCGACCGGTGACAAACCCAGGCAAACGAGAGCCCCCCCATCCCATGCAAAGAAACTGCACAAAAAGCACCATGAACCAAGTCTGGATCATGCGCGTACGCCCCGCGATCACTCAAGATTCACATGGGTGTTTGAAAAAGACGGCGGGGGTCCCTCATGTTGTCCGCTCTGTGCAGGCGTTTCACATCGGTCTCACCCCGAAACCTCCGATCGGAAACCATCGCCACCGCCCAAAACCTCGTGGTGATCCCTCCGTTATGGGCCACGCCAGGAGTAACAGAATGGCATTCCGATGACGGTATCGCCGGGGGTGTAGTCGTCGACAGTCGCGTGTTTGTCAAACCATTCGCCATCGTATGGGTTCGCTCAAGTGTGGTTTTATGTTGATTGTAATTCCTGAGTTGTGCTGATCGCTGGCATGTTCAGGCGAATGCTCGAGAACGTAATAACACCACACATGCGGCAATGCGAACTCTCGCTTGCGATGTAACAATACAAAACGCACAGCACTGCCCTGTAAGTCGGGAAGAAATGTATTATGCGGACGCGTCGTAGGGTATGATTACGCATGTGGTATCACAATGCAGTCACCTTTGCCGTTTGCATTCCCGTATATTGTCAGCCTCTGTCATCCTGTCCTCTCCTCATCATGCTCCGTCTCTCTCGCCTCCTCCTAACTCCCTCGTGGCTCCATGGCTCCGACTATGTCTGGCTGGAAGCCTCCTCATGTCGCCCTGCTCTTCGGCCCGCTTCAGGTCCGACTCCTCAACTATCAGATCCTGGCCCTGCAGCGCCATCAAGGCCTGCATTATCCTGCAAGGGGGAAAGGCAACCATGTTGGCATCCCATGCTCGTGACTGAACACGCGCGTTGCGGAGACTTCGACCAATCCTGCAGCTCGAAAGCGTGCCAGGACACCTAAACGAAAATATCGAAGGGCCCAGCATCATGCTACAGTCGGACCTAGGCCAGAATATCACCCTTCAAGAACATGAGACCCTCCGCCGGCCAAAACAAACAGAACATCCAAGGGTACCCTCCTCAGGATGCACAAAAAACAGCCAACAAGCACGAAGAACATTAGGGTACCCTCCCCGAACCGACCTGGATCTTGTACCTCGGTCCGACTGTACAGGAAACGGCCCGCTCGCGCTCACGGGTGGCCGCCTGGCCCCGCCTGCTCCGTCCTCCCGCAGTGCCTGCGCCCTAATTCGCCAAGAGCTCCACCGACGCATCAGATCCACTATCTGCATATGGTCCAAACTGACAGAGAGGGTGCACGGTAGGGACGCAAGGGCCCTGGACGCCCATGCCGAAGCCGCCTTTCTGAGCGGGGGTGGCCATCAGAAGTGGCTGAGGGTGGGCCGAGCATGACCAGAGGGGGAAGGATGCAGGGGTACTCCAGATTTCGTAATAAAGGGAGGGGGGTCTCATTTCGGGGGGGGGTCTCTTCCAGGCTATCTTGGAGGGCCTGGGGGGTTCTGGGGACGATGTTTTGGAGAGTTCTCCCACGGGGGAGGTCTGAAATGGCTTGTCTTGGAGGGTCCAGACCCCCTCCCTTTTATTACGAAATCTGGAGTACCCATGGGGAGTCGATCACATCCTCCCCATCGGTGCTGACGCCAGTCCTTCCCCCCGAGAGAGGCACCGACACACAAGGGGTGCCACTGGCTCGCTGGGGGAGCACTGGCCCGGAAGGCGCGAGAGACGTCGCCGGCAGGTCGGCGACGGGGCCGCCGAGGAGACCCCGCGCGCTCCCGGGCGGGGCGGGGCACCCGGGCCCCAGTGGGACGACGAGCACGCCTCCTCCTCGTGCTTCCTCCTCCGCCTCCTCCTCCTCCTCCTCTCCTCCCTCCTCCTCTCCTCCTCCTCCTCCTCCTCCTCCTCCTCCTCGTGCCTCCTCCTCCTCCTCGTGCCTCCTCCTCCTCCTCCTCCTCCTCCTCCTCCTCCTCCTCGTGCTTCCTCTCTAATTACTCGCAGATGGCCTGGATGCCCCGCGGGGGCTCTGCGAGAAACTGCAGCCCAAAAAAAACAGGTGCTTTCTGTTCGGACGTCTACGAGCAGGCACTCTGCGAGTCGTGGAGCGCGCTCGGCGACAGCTGGTGAGGACTATGCGAGTGGGGGTCGACGGCGTTGCCCCGGAACCTCCCCCTCGCCACCGCCCGCGCAGGCCTGCCTGGCCGGCAGCGGCTCAGCGCGGAGCGACCTCCAGGACTCGACGGAGGGTCCTCCTGCCACGTGGCCGGCATGCCGGGCGAAGCCACACACGGAGGGAGGGAAGGAGGGAGGGAGGGAGGGAGGAAGGGAGGGAGGAGGAAGGAGGAGGAGGAGGAGGGGGTGGCGATAACGAGCGCCGTCGGGAGGAGGAGGGGGAGCTAAAGCCACGAGCCAGCTGCCCTCAGCTAGTCCTGGACGGCGCCAGCGGGGAGCAGGGGGAAAGGGGCACCCGTCAACGGGCGTTATCGCAAGTACTTCCACCCAAAACATGTTAGCCAACGCGGGACCCAAAACAATATGTTTTCAGCCATATAGGTCGTGCAATGTCTGTCGAGCATTCTACGTGGTGCAACTCACCCTGCCGGGCTTGAACTTGCCAACTCCAATGCTCGCGCAATCCTCCCAACCACCCACCAGCAACTTGCTTTGAGTGCTTAGTGTTGGCTGGTGCATCTCTGCGGCCGCGCTGGCCCGCGCATGCATGTTCGCGCGCTCGCAACGGCCAGCTAGTTTGGCGCGACCGGCGCGGCCGCGGTGGCGCTGACCTCTGGGCACTTCCCACCGGGCACTTCAGTGCGAGTCGGCCTCTTGGGCGGCCGCAGTATCATGGCAACGGCGAACACGGTGGACGCGATTATGATAGTAGCGATGCTGGCGACGATGGTGACAGCGACGACGGCAAAGACGGTGATGGCGCCGATGCTGACCACGCCGACGACGATGACGTCGTCCTCGCGTCGGCGATGGAGGCTTCGGAAAGACTGTGCCATGCACGCGAAACCGACGCGCGAGAGCGGCCCGCACTATATTATTTGACGCGGACCGGGCCCCTCCAGCACGCGCGCAAGGGCGTTCGAATAATTTCGACATGCGGCGCGAAAGGCCCTTTTGGTAGAATGTAATGGATAAAGTTCAAAACCAATAGCTTTTTCAAGAATTCGCAAGAGGGCGAACGCAATTTTTCATGTTCACATGTTTTCGGGACACTCGGCTTTAAAATCCGCACGACGCCCATGGCTCTTGAAGGATTCCGGCATGCGCGCGCGACGGCATGCACGCGCGCACTTCGTCTTATCAGCTGCAAGGGATTATTGCGACAGCACGCGCGCAAGGGCGTTCAAGAAATTTCGGCATGCGCCCGCGAAAGGCCCCGTTGGTAGCATGTTCTGAAAATATTGAAACTGCTATCTTAAGAATATGTGCAACCGCGCAACCTTTTTTTGGATATGTGTTGCGAAACCACGTGTGTTCATGTGATGTCGGGGCAGTCGATTTGAAATCCGGACGAAAACCAGAAAGTGATTGAAGGGTTCCGGCATGCGTTCGCGACGGATCGCGCATGCACTTCGCCCCATATGTTGCAAACGATGTTTGAAAGCTGATGACATTATATAAAGTGTGCGCGCAGAACGATCTCTTCACGGGATAATGGGGGGATGCCGGTTTAGATCGGAAGACATGAACTCATATACCGGATGGACGATGGGGCAGAATCACACGCAAATTGAAATACGGAAAAAAAAGAGCCAAGTCCGTGGGGGAATGGTAGGTCCGAACTCTTTTAGAAAAGACAATACACGCTGTCCAACATACAGTGCGGACTATACGATGCGCAATACTGATAAGGCGATCTATGTGGTGCAACGTGCATGGTGCAAAATATATTGCGCAAATTGCGCTGCAGTCGTGGTGGTGCACCTTACGCACCGCAAAAAAAATTGCGCAGTCGACGTGGTGCAACCAGCGCGTTGCAATATGTTTTGGCATGCATACATATATACATACATACACAGATATATAATGTACCAGCTACGCGGCGCAGTCTAGGCGTTGCAAATGTGGCGCCAACTATGTGGTACAACTCGCTTGTGGAACTCGCAATTGTCAACTCCAGTGCTCGCGCAGCCACCCCACCCACCTACCCGCAACTTGGTTTGCAAAACCCACGCGGCGGCGATTGAGACGAAGGCTTGGCGTTGGCTGGTGCATCTCTGCGGCCGCACTGGGCCCGCGCATGTTCGCGCGCGCAACGGCCACCAAACTTGGCGCGACCGACGCGGCCGCGGGAGCGCTGACTGCTGGGCGCTTCCTTGTGGGCACTTCAGTGCGAATCGGCCATTTGGGCGGCCGCGGTATCATGGCAACGTCGACAACGGTAGACGCAAAAATGCGAATAGCGACGCCGATGACGATGGTGGCCACGACGACGGCCAGGCCATGGTAGGCGCCGATGCTGATCACACCGGCGACGATGACGCCATCCTCGCGTCGGCGATGAAGGTTTGGAAGCATTTCGCCACGCGCGCGCAACCGACGCGCGAGAGCGGCCCGCACTGTATTATTTGACGCGGGTCGCGCCACCCAGTACGCGCGCACAGGAGTTCAAATGAGAATTCGCAAAAGCGCGAATGCAGGTTTCTATCTCGAACGACGAATGTTGCAAAACGATCCGTTTTGTACGCGTTGCCAGGGTATTCGATTTTGAAATCCGTACGAACACCACGATTGTTGCAGGATTTCGGCATGCACGCGCAACGACGCACGCGAGCGCATTTGCTCCCATTTGTTGCAAGGGATTCTTGCGACAGCACGCACGCAAGGGCGTTGGAACAATTTCGACGCGCGCGCGGGAGGCCCATTCGATCGCATGTTATGGCAACGTTTAAAGAACCGATGGTTCCCCTAAGAATGCGCAAGAGCGCGAAAGCAAACGCTTTCAAAAATGGGCTACGGAACCATGTGTTTGATGCGTTTTCGGGACCCTCGATTCTGAAATCCTTACGACACCCATGGTTTGTGAAGGATTTCGGCATGCGCGCGCGACGACGCGTTCGTGCGCACTTCGTCCGTTTTTTGCTGCAATGGGTTATTGAAAACTGGCGATGCTTGAGAAACGAGCGCGACCGCATATATCTAGGGAGAGAATGAAGGGGGGCGGTGCCGGCCTGATGGCATGTTGTGCACTCATATGGGGATGGACGATGATGCAGAAGCATAGGCACATTGCAATACGAAAGGGTGTGCGTTAAATCCACGGGTGGGTAGATTCTAGTACTCTTCTAGAGAAGAAAAAATGCTTGTTCGCCCTGAACTGTCAACTCTAATGCTCGCGCAATCATCCCACCCACCCACCCGCAAATTGGACTGCGTAGACCCATGCGGCGGCGATTGCGATGAGTGCTTGGTGTTGGCTGGTGCATCTTTGCGGCCGCGCTAACCCGCGCATGCTCGCGCGCGTTGCGGCCAGCTTGTTTGGCGCGACCGACGCGGCCACGGTGGCGCTGACAGCTGGGCACTTCCCTGCGGGCACTTCAGTGCGAATCGGCCACTTGGGCGGGCGCCGTATCATGGCAACGTCGACAACGGTAGACGCGAGGACGATAGGACATCATCGCCAACGAAGGCGGCAAAGCCAGTGATGGGGCCGCTGCTGATCAGCCGACGACGATGACGACGTCCTCGCGTCGGTGATGAAGGTTTTGGGAGGAGTTCGGCAGTCGCGCGCCGCCGACGCGCCAGGGTGGCCCGCATGATGTTATCTGACACGGATCGTGTCCCTCCAGCACGCGCGCAACGGCATTCGAATGAATTTTGCGTGCGGCGCGAGAGGCTTGGCATGATGTAGCTGTTGAAAAAAAGGGGAGAGAGAAAAACAAATGATGGGTTTCTTGGCTTTTTTTACCTGGCACTACAACACCATATGTGTTTGCATGCTGTCGGGACAGCCGATATTGAAATCCGGACGAAATCTCAAATTAGAGGATTTCAGCGCCCGCGCGCGACGACACGCGCGTATGCAGTTCGTCCTGTTGTTTGTAAGGGATGATTGCGATAGCACGCGCGCAAGGGCGCTGGAACGATTTCGGCATGCGGGCGCGAGAGGCCCATTTGGTAGCATGTTAAGGAAATGCTGAAAACCAATAGTTTCCCTAACAATTTGACAAAGCGTGGGATCAAGCTTGCTTGACAGTTCTTGTTGCGAGTTACAAGTTTAGATTTAGGAGGGACGATGGGGCAGAATCATATATAAATTGCAATACGAGAAGGAGAACTGTTAATTTTGGGGGGAGGCCGATCATGTTACTCTTGTAGGAAGGAGAATAGATGCAGTGCCATATCTGTTGTGTACTCTAATGGTGCAACGTATCCTGTGCAACCCACGTGGTGCAATCGATGCGAAGCAATTTATGTTGTGCAAGCCACGTGATGCTATCTATCTAACGGTACAATACACGCGATGCAGTAGATGTGGTGCAGTCTATGGTGCAATATATGTGCGGCGCAGTCTGTGTTGCTGAATCTAGCGCGGCGACACGGCGGCGACGGGGCGGCGACGCCTGCAACATGGCCGCCAGACCGACAAACAGACCCAGACGACGGGCGGTGACAAGACGGCGACGGGGCGGCAACGGCGGCAACTTAGCCGTCCGACCGTCGGACAGGCCCAGACGACGGGCGGCGACGCGGCGGCGACGGGGCGGCAACGGCGGAAGCCGGCGACGGCGAGTACATAGCCGCCAGGCCAACAAGCGGGCCCAGACGACGGGCGGCGACGAGGCGGCGACGGGGCGGCGACGGCGAGCACGTAGCAGCCATACCGACCGGCACTGCTTGTGGAGTGCGTGAGTCGAGAAACCGATGAGGAGCAGCGGTAGCACGAGCAGAAAGCAGGGGCAGAATCAGAGGAGCAGGAGTCCGCGCCACTTCTCTCTCTCTCTCTCTCTCCGTCTCTCTCTCCCTCTCTCTCTCTCTCTCTGTCTCTCTCTCCCTCTCTCTCTCTCTCTCTCTCTCTCTTTGTTTTCTCTCTTTCTCTCTCTCATATGTATACGAGTATACAGTTACTAGAACCACGCGCGCGTTTCGCGCGCTTAGGTTCTAGCAAGCTCTGGTTGTAGCCTACAGTGCTCGGTATTGGAGGACAAGCTTGCCGCACGGGTCGTGCCCCTCAGGGAGCCTCTCCACCTGCAGCCCCAAAGCCAGGCTTGGCCGGCGCTCCCCCGGCCCTGTCGGCACACCCCTCGCAGTGATCGCACCCCACAGGCAGCTCCACCTGCGTCCCCGGAGACAAGGTTCGCATACTTGACTACCTACCAGACCACCCCAACCCAACCCGAAGACCCGAATTTCGGGTTGGGGGGGTACGGGTTCCATATGTGTTTTCTCGATGTTCCACGACCCCCCCCCCCTGGAAATCGAGGATAAATTGGGGCCTTCGGGTTGGGTGGGGTGTTTTGGTGGGTGGTGAATACTTGCACGCCCCCCACGCGGATCGTGCCCGGCAAATAACTGAATTTGCGGCACCAGAGTAGAGCTTCATAGCGTCGCCCCGCTCATTTCGGCACACCTCTCACACGGATCGCAGCCCGCCAAGAGTTCCACGGACGGCCCTGGAGACGAGGTTCGCATCCCGCCCTCTCGTCTACTTCGGCATACCACTCACACGGATCATGGCCCACAGGAACCTCCATCTACGGCCCCAAAGGCAAGGTTCGCACTGCTGCCCCCCTGGCCATTGCGGCATACCGCATCACGCGGGCCGTACCCACAAGGAGCGCCACCGAAAGGCCCAGAGGCAAGGTTCGTACAGCGCTTCCCCGCCCATGTCGGCAGACGCGTCACGCGTCTCCACCTATGGCACCAATGGGCAGCTTCGCATGGCGTCCCCCCGCCCGCTTCGGAACATGCCTCGCACGGTTCGTACATATGGAAGGTCCACCTGTGGCCTCAGTGGGGGCGTTCGCGCGGGGGCATCCAAATTATTCGGCACACCATTCACGCGGATCATGCCCTACAAGGACTTCAGAAACCGTGCGCGCGTGCTCCGCAGCAGCCATCTTTCCGCATTGCCCCGCGGCGCGCAACGTATGAAGGGACGCCCGCGCCCTGCGCTACACATGGCTTCATAGGGATGGGTCCCTTGCTAAATCAATTGCTTGCGTATCTACAGCCTTCGGCCGATACCGCTACTGTACCCGAGTTTTGGACCAGAGGATCCTGGGATACCTGAAATTCAGGGTCCCTTAGCATGCTTCTCGGGCGCCTCGTGGAGCGAGTGTTGAAGCTTCTTATGGCCTCATACGGGCCGTGTGGAGGCCTCTTGGGGTATCTTTGGGGGCCCTTGGAGGCCTGGCCTCTGGGGTGTCTGCTGCGGCCTCGGGGGACTTCTCGTGGCGGAGGGCTCGAAATGTCAGTTGGCGCTCCCCCTCTTTTGGACTCCTCTTGGGGCCCTACTTGGCCGCCTTGGGCGCCTCTTCGACCGTCATGGGACGCTCTTGGGCCGCCCTGGGGCTCTCTTGGAGGCCTGTTGGGCCGTCTTGGAGCGGTAGGTGGGGCCTCTTGGGCCGTTTTGGACGCTGTGGCAGCCCAAAGTGCAGATATGCTAAAAATACACCGTCCCTTTAGGGGAGGAAACAGTTTTGGCCTCCTGGGGCCCTTTCGGGGCGCATCTTAGAGCCTTCGACGTCTTCGGGGCCTCTTGAGCCAACGTGAAAGAATTGTCAGGCGTCTTCGGCCCTGTCAGGTACTCTTGGGGCGTCTTGGCGCCCTCTTGGGGTGTCTTGGAGCCCTCCTGGGCGCCTCATGTGCCGTCTCCAGGCGTCGGGCGCGCTGGCGTGCTTTCCGGCTCCCTTGAGAGCCCCGTTTGGTGCCCTCTGGGCCGCCTGGAAGGCCATTTTGGCGGGTGGGGGCCCGCTGGGCCCCCCATGAGTCACAGCGGCACCGATGTTGGCCCCCACCATGGGGCTTCCTCACATACATACATGCATACAGACAGACAGACAGACAGATAGACAGACAGACAGACATACATACACACGCATACACATGCATACACACATGCATGCACGCACGCACGCATGCATGCATACATATCTACATGTATGCATATATGTATACCTGTAAATGTGTCTATGTACATAGATGTGTACATGTGTAGTGTGTATATATATATGCATAAGCGTACATGTATATATGTACATATGTCTATATATATATATAAATATATATGTATATATATATATGTATATATATATGTGTGTGTGCATGTGTGCATGTATATTGCAAAATACAATACTATAGATGTGTATGTATAGAACAATATCTCTCTCTCTATCATTATCTCTGCCTCTCTCTCTCTCTCTCTTGTTTATCTCGATATCTATGTGAAGAAAATAACAGATCTAACTCTCTCCCTCTCTCCCAATCTCTACCTCTGTGCCAGAATAGATCTGGGAACCCGTGCAGTGGCCAACTGCCGGGGGGCGTCACCAATCCGCCCCCCCGAGCCTGGCCAGGCTCAGGACCGGTGAGGGCCACGGACACCCCGGGAACCACGAGGAGCCCGCGCAACACGCCCCCAGGGACGCTCCTGGGATCCTTCTGGCCCGACAGGGCGATGGTCCGGCCCACCTCGCAGACCTTCAGGGGGTCGCCGCTGGCATCCTGGGGGGGGCCGGCTGGCCGAGGGGGTCTGGCAGCGTCCCTGCATGCGGGGCCGAAGAGGGGCTCCGCGGTGCGGACCACACGTAAGCATGAACTGTTGGCGCGTCGCGCGGAGCGCCAAAGGTTGATGTGTATGCCGTCATACACAAACCCGCGACGCAAGATTATGCAGAAGGGAGGGCACCGAAGGTATGGATCGAGATGCTGTGCAACGTGCGAGAGTCAGCCAAGTCATGGCGAAGGGCCTGCCGTTGTGTTTTGATGCCACGGCGCGAGGAGGTCTGTCCTCCTCCTCCTCCTCCTCCTCCTCCTCCTCCTCCTCCTCCTCCTCCTCCTCCTCCTCCTCCTCCTCCTCCTCCTCCTCCTCTCCTCCTCCTCCTCCTCCTCCTCCTCCTCTTCCTCCTCCTCCTCCCAAAGTCTGCCCAAGAGGGCCCGCAAAGGCCCCCGAGACAGGCGCCCGAAACCCCCCAGACTGCCGAGAGAGGCCCAAGACTGCCCGAAAAGGGCTCCAAGACCCAATCTCGCTCCCGTGGCAGCCTTCTGCGGCCTCTGCCGCTCCCCCGCGAGCCCGGGAACATCCTGACCACGTCGCTGGAGCGGACTGCTCGCCCAGAAAGCTTCTTGGGCGTCGCTCAATGGGGGGGCGATCAATGAAGGGGGAAGACAGGTGCACTTTTCGGACCCTGAAGGCCCCTTGTGGGCCCCAAAGGGCCCCTTCAGGGGCCCAAAGGGCTCCTTTTTTGCAGCCCTCGCTGCCCCCCCATTGATCGCCCCCACCCCCTTAGCGCGACGCCCAAGTTTGGTGACTGACCCGGGCCCCCCTAGATGCGGATAACGACAGCAAGAGCCCGCCGCGAACAGTTTCGCGACGCGAGGAGGCGCGGGCGGGGGGAGCGAGAGGTCCACACTCGCGTCGTTGTGGACCTTCGGTAGCCTCCTCCTCCTCCTCCTCCTCCTCCTCCTCCTCCTCCTCCTCCTCCTCCCTTTCCTCCTCCTCCTCCGTAGCCCTCTCGGCTGAAGCAGCTCACCAGCGAGCGAATCCCCGCGTTGCTGAAACCTGCTGGTCATGAGCTGCCAGGGGGCGCCGCCGCCTGCTGCCCGAAGACACGTCGCTGCTGGAGCACCTCCGGGGCGCGGCGGCGGCGCGGCTGGCCGCCGACAACCTGGCGAAGCTCGAGGGCAAGATCGAGAGGCTGCGCTGCGAGCTACAGGCCCTGCGGGCGGCCTCGTCGCCCCGCGAGGGCGAGGTCGTGGGGCGCGCGAGGGTACCGCACGGTCGGCTCTCCGGTCGCTGGCTCATGGCGCGCGGCTGTCGGGCGGGCGGGGGCTCCGGCGCACTGCGCGTGGCACACCGCGCGCTGCCCACATGCCGGAGCTCCGTGGCAGGCCTGGGCGCAGGCCCAGGGAGGGCCGCGACGAGGTGGCGCGGGGGCGCAAGCGGCGCCACCCGACGACGACGCTGCCGTGGTTTGCGAGGTCGAGATCTGTGTGTCGGTCGCGGTGAGCAAGAGGTGCGAGAAGACCGAGCGAGCGAACGAACGAAGCAGCCGCCGCCGGAAAGCCGGCGTCCCTGAAAGGGAGGCTGGCGCGCCAGTCGCGCGAAGGCCTTCTACGAAGGCCACTCGACGTGGGATCGGGCAAAAAACAAATCAAACATGAAACGTTTGCACGAGACGTCGCGCGTTCATCGCCAAGCGCGCTGCATAAAACTACTCTCTTTCTCCTGCCAAACAATCCCACTGGACAAGCAGTCGGCCCCACGCTGTGGTGCACAGCGGCGCCCGTCTTCGTGCGTGGCGCAGCGGCCCACCCCCTCAGGCTTGGGGCCGGCATCGTCATGCCGTTGGCGTACCGGGCGGAGGTGGAGCCCCAGATGTGCGCCAAGGAGGAGAGGGCGGCGCCGCGGCCGACCACGTGACGCCCCCCCCGGTGAGAGCGAAGCTGGAGCCCAGCGGGATGTTGGATGCGAAACGGAGGCCCGACGTCAGCGTCGGCGAGGAGCGCGAGCAGTGGCAGCAGACACTGTCGCCGCCCACCGAGCTGCAGCAGGCGAAGGTGGAGACCAAAGCGAAGTTGGAGGCGAAGCTGGAGCAGCGCAAGCAGTGGCAGCAGACACTGTCGCCACCAACCGAGCTGCGGAAGGCGAAGGTGGAGCCCGAAGAGAAGCTGGAGGCGAAGCTGGAGCCCGGTATCCCCCCCTGGAAGATGTGCGAGATGTTAAAGGCGAAGCTGGAGGCCAACGGGATGCTCGATGCGAAGCTGGAGCCCGATACTGTCAACAAGCTGGCGAAGGCGAAGCAGCAGCCCAACCAGAACGTGGAGACGAAGCTGGAGACCGACTTCGGCGAGCAGTGGACGGTCAAGCTGGAGCCCAACCTCAATACCTGCAGCACCGGGAGCAGCGCGTGCGAGAAGGGTGTCAGGTGGCAGCAGACCCATCTGCTGCTCAGCGTCATGTCGAAGACGAAGAAGAAGCTCGACAGGTTGCAAGTGAAGCTCAGCGAGCAGGCCAATCGATGCGAGACGGCGAAGCTGGTGAAGGCGAAGCTGGAGCCCAACCCGATCGTGGAGACGCAGCTGAAGCCCGATTTCTGCGAGCAGTGGCAGGTCAAACTGGAGCCCGCCCTCGGTAGTAACAGCGATGGGCACAGCGAGTGCGAGAAGGGTAATAGTTAGCAGCAGACCCTGCTGATGGAGTCGGAGGCGAAGCAGGAGCTCGACGACTGGCTGGATGAAAAGCTGGAGCTGAAGGTCATCATCGAAACGTGCAATTGCGGACCTGGTGCCTGGAGCGTCCGACGCGGAGATGGCTGCCCTCCGCGCGGCGGTCGCCGAGGAGGACGCCGCTGAGGAGGTCGTCCGCCGCTGCCAGCCTGCCACCGAGGCCGCGGCCGTGGAGCTGGCGAGGCTGCAGGAGGGCGGCTTGGCGCCCCCTGGAGTCGTCGAGCGCGCCGCCGCGGCCTTCGAACAGGCCGCGCAGCAGGAGCGGGGCGCCTCGGCGTTGCACTGCTCGCAGGAGGCCCGCTCGCTGGCGCTGGCCCACGCGATGGCGGACGCGGAGGCCGGGGCGGAGCGCAATGTGAGCTGCGAGGCGAAGCTGGAGCCCGACGAGGCGAAGCTGAAGCTGGAGGACACGGGCCTGGAGCCAAGTGCGATGCTGGAGGCGAGGCCGAGGCTGGCACCCGACGACATCGGCCGTCGCTGCGGGCCAGCCCCGGCGGACAGCCCGAGGTCCTTCGGGGCGTGGTGCAGGAGCCGAGGGCTGGCCTCGGGCTTGCTCAGGACGGCCATCGGCTCGGCGGAGCGCTCCGCGGTGGCGACCTCCTCGCTCACGGGCAGGGAGCTCGTGATCGCGGAGGCGGTCGGGGGGAGTTGGTGAATCTCCGGCGTGGCGGTGGAGCGAAACCAGGCCCCCCGTGCGTGGGCGCTCTGATCCCCACCTCATCCCTCCCCTCCCCGCACGGCGTGCTGAGCCGAGTCAAGAGATCCCCCAAGTCCTCCTCCTCCTCCTCCTCCTCCTCCTCCTCCTCCTCCTCCTCCTTCTCATCCCCCTCCTCCTCCCCCTCCTCCTCCTCCTCCTC